TGGCACCCCGGCTCCGCCCCCCAGGGGTTGTGCGCCCCCTTTCCCATCCCCCGCCCTGCGCCTGGCACCCCCAGCCTTGCCCGGGGCTCTGTCCCCCCATTGCCCCCCGCACTCACCAGCCCCATTTCTGGGGGAAGTACCCCCAGGTGTCCAGGTTGGGCTGGGTGTCGACGCCCTCGTCCCGCATGTAGGTTTGGGCCAGGGGCAGGGTCTGCAGCAGGCTGGCCCCCCACTGCTCCAGGGAGAGCCCCCGCACCGCATAGGCCGTGAACAGGGCCGAGGCCAGCGCCCCCAGGTACCCTGCAGTGGGGCAAGCGTCCATCAGGGGCCCTGCACAGAGACCTCTTCCTCCCCCAGGCCTGGGGGCAGAGCCACCGCTCAGACCGGGGCCCCCCAGTTCCCTGCAGCGGGCACAGCGTTGGGGGCTGGGACTTCCCACAGCCCTCCCATAAACCCCCAATGGGAGATTGGGAGGATGGCCCCCCACACGGCCCCCCCAGTCCCCGGCAAGGGGGAGGGGGATGCCGGGGTGGGAGTGTGGGACTATTTTCCCCTCCAGGCCCTGTGCCCCCTACCTGTGGGGTGATGGTGCGTCATGCGCCCGCTCTCCACGCTGATCCGGATCAGGGTCGGCAGCTCTGTGGGGTGCGGGTACCTGGGGGGGGGGCAGGGGCAGTGCAGGGTCATGCCCCCCAGCCAGGTGTCCCCTGACACCAGAACCTCCCAGCGCCCCCCTGGGATGCACCCGCCAGACCCCCAAGACCCAGAGCCCCCATCTTCCTGGATGCTCTGTCCCCAGTCTCCTCCTGAGGCCCCCCACCTCCACCCCCTTCCCCGGGGTGCCCCATGGCCCCTGGGGCCCCGCCTCCCACCTGAGCCCGATGGCCATGGAGCGCATGGCGGCCCCGCAGCCGGTGGCACTGGGGTTGAAGGGGATCCGGTACCCGGCCGGCTCGCCCGTGCGCAGCTGGGACGTCCCTGGGGGGAGAGAGAGTGGGGGTCACATGGGCGCCCTGCAGGGTCCCCAAAATAGCACCCCCCTCCCATCCCCAGCCCCCCCACGCCCGGCCCAGGTATGCATAGCCCACAACCCTCCCACGTTCCCCCCACATGTCACAGGCGTGGGGGCTGCTAGGCTCCGGGGGGCGCGTGGGGCAGCTGGGAGGGACAGTGGAGGGGGCCCAGGAGGCAGCTGTGGGCTGGGTGTTGGTGGGCATGGGGGGGGCCCAGTGCCCAGGGGGTGCCAGGCATGAGGGGGCGTCCCTACCATACCCAGGATGCTGGTGGGGCCGGGTTTCCTGCCCTCCATGTCGCCCATCGCTGCCACGTAGCCTCGTGCCAGCTCCTGCAGCAACGCCTCCCCCTCCAGTCCTGGGGGCAGAGAGAGGGGTCAGTCTGGGGCCCCCCAGCCACCACAGGGACCCCCAGCCAGTCCCCTTCCTCCCCCAACACCCCAACTTCTCTGGGTCCAGCTAACCGGCCCAACCTGATCCCTGATTTACCCTCTGCGTCTGAGCCCCCCATTCCCTTCCCCCACATCTGTGCCCCTGTGACATTATGAGTGTGATATAATATCTCATTGGAAGGTGACAGGG